AAAAGTACCAACGTAATATAAAGTATCAGAGAGGGAGGGGGGAGATGTTAAAAACTTTGTATAAAAACGGCAAGCTGAAATTACTCGCCGCGACACCTGATACTTGTACTATACACGCACGTACCCGTGTTGGTGGTGTACACACACGTGATATAAAATTACAAAGCAGCGAGAAACCACGAGAACCCAAGGCCTCATCAGCATAATAGCCTCCGGGGCTCGGAAGCGGGAGGTCGAAGATCGGAAGGGGGCGAGGCTTGGAAAAATTTGCATCGGAGAACTCCCACCGAGAAACAAGCAGCTTTTCGCTATGGGGGTCGAAAGCGCGGGAGGGTCGAGCCTAGATGAAGTGCGAATAATAGGCGTCAGGCGGCAACGATCGGGGGAGGGGGGATAAATAACGACAGCCGGGTAAAGGGGTGTGGGCATTCGCTGGAGCAAAAGTTTTGGAGGCTACTCCCACGCCCGTACACACGATGAGCGTGAAAAGAACTTTTTGTATTAAGCAACTTTTACCGCTAATTTCGTCCTCTCTCTCTCTCTCTCTATACCTCGCGGACGGGGAGAAGGATGGAGTCGTGACCTGTACGCAGGGACGCGTTGTATTCCCGTTTCTCGCTCCCAACGCGCCACGGAAGTTATTCTATTCTCCTTTTCTATTCGCCACTACTACTCTACTTCGCCGTCTTTCTCGCCTCTCGCAAGTGTGTCTGTATACACGTATAGGTACGGGATGTTTTTTTTTTTTTTTTGCAAAAAACTCGCACTGCTCCAGCTCATTTATGAAAGAATTTCTTTCCTGCCTGTAGCTCGCTCGGCTTTTGTTTCAGACTTTTTCCTACGGCTCTCTCTCTCTCTCTCTCTCTTTCTCCACTCGGGAAGCGCGGACGTTTTAATTAAGGAAATTATCGCTCTTATAAATTGCTCGGTAAATTTCCGAGGATATGCGCTCGGAGCTGCGTTTGATGGAGTGTGAGGCTTTAATTGCTTCGGTGAATTTATTTTACACTGCAGGGGATATGGTGCGTGTAGTGAAGGAATGGATTGTTTTTTTTTTTTTTTTTTNTTTTTTTTTTTTTTTTTTTTTTTTTTTTTTTTTTTTTTTTTTTTTTTTTTTTTTTTTTATGAGCTCGTGGTTTCATGGTTGACACTTTGGGGGCTGGAAAAGGTGGTTTTATTTTTGGTTACACTGGAGCTGCCTTGATGGCTGAAAAGGTACTTCAAATCTTGATGTCCAAAGATCTACTTTTTTTTTATACACTTATATTTACGCAGCCGTCCGTAAGTGGTGATATTTGAAAAAAATAGCCCCAATGACGATGGCACTTCTATTGCGGAAACTATACTATTATCATTTTACTGATTCACTCGTTTAGAATTCTTAAAAACGTAAGGATAAACTTCTGAGGTAAAACCGTGATAATACTAATATGTTCGATATTTTTTACAAACAACCTCTACATGCTGACGAAAAAAATTCTAATGCGATGCCAAAACGTTGAAGTAGACCCAGTACTTGGTAACAATCGAAACATATATTGAATATATTTCTAGGACTTCAACTTCAACATAAAATATTTTATTAAAAAAATACAAAAGTAAAAGGTAAAATGGGACTGTAAAAATTAAAAAAAAAATTTGTCGTTTACGGTCCTCGTTAAAGATTATATGGAATTGAAATGAAGCGTAAATTTATTGTCCTTCGATATGTATTCTTTCATTTATTCCTTTTGACTCTAAATTCTAGGAACTTTTAAAGGAAAGATTATAGTAATTGAAATCAGAAAATTGATCATTAAAGTATTAGGGTCTAATACTGTGGCTTCTTAAAAAGTTTCGGCAAAAAGTGTTGTTTGAATCCTTAACTTTTTATGCTGAAACTGTCCATGTCAGTATGTACAAGCTTTACGGTTTTGTGGATTTCACGTGTACCATACTATCCAAAATCAAAACGAAAGTGAAACAACACAATCACAATCAAAAACACAACTCAAGTTCAAAGTCCCAATCTGATCTCTACAGTATCGTGAGCACAGAGCAAATCTTGCAATTATTCTGGCAAGCCATACAAACATGTTGGTACGCATACCCAATAAGAACAAAAAAAAATAACCAAAGTAGAAATTTCCCCCTTGCACCGAGCGCGCGGTGATTCAGGAAAAAAGCGCGCATTTATTGTTCCAGGACTATCGGACAAGGAGGCCGTGAAAGAGCGAAGCTCTGAGCTCTCAATACACAGGAAGACTGCACTGACGCGAGAAACAACGTCCACTCGCGTTCAACCGCATGGTGTGTTAAGGGAGTTGGAAGAGTGGAAAATAACGTGGGACGTGAAGCAGAAAAATTGTGGGTAAATGAAAGAGAAGAAGCGTGTGAAATCTCGAGAGCGGAAGGACTGGATTTTTTATAGATTCAGACACGTCATGGAATCAAGGAGTGACATCGTGTGGTTCTTTTCTTTTTTCCTTTTACAATTTACACCCAAAATCAAATTGTTGTAAAATCTTGAAAAGCCCATGATATTTGGAGTCCAAAGATCCGACGAGCTTCGGAGTTTATGCTACCGGGTCAAGTGTCCCGAAGTGGTTCAAGCATTTCCTCCTGGCGTGCACTCGATCCAGCCACTTGAGTGCCCTCATTTTTCATACGTAGGTGCATTTTTCGCGACACACGCCAATTTTGACTATTCCGTAATACATGGCACACGATACCTTTGAACATTTGTACTTCATTTCTCTTGAAAATATGTCAAACGCTGGAAAGATAGTGCTGCATGGAAATGGTCGTATCGTTTTATTTTATTTCTCCATCAATTTGTATTAGTCAATTTGATTAATACAACTCTATCAATTCATATTACTTAGATGTTTAAGGTTTTTTTTTTCTACTACTGTACAGTGAAGGGTTTATTTGATTTATTTTGACACTATAAAAGGCCTTTAGTCCAAATGATTGACTTAACCACAGCTATATTATATATATCCATTTCATTTGTCACGTAAAAAAAAGGAACATAAAAGTTTGATCGAGCGCTATAAAACACGATAAATTGGCTAAGGGCTGTAAAACTTGACCACTCGATAGGACGATCTTAGCTCAATAACTGGATGAAGTCGAGACGTGACTTTTCGACTGTAAAATCAAATTAGCAAAGTGAATCGTACGATTTTTAATTAATTAAGGTTTGTATCACTAGGACGAAATGTCGCTCTTGCCAAACATATTTTTTTATACCAACTACGACAACGCTGTTTTGAAAGTTTTAAGCGCACTATTAATCAAAACAAAAAAAAAGCTTTTTTGTACCATCTTTACAGTTTCAATAAGATAATAGATCATGTAAGTCCCCAAGAAGTACCCCAATATACCCCACACACCCACGCCAGCATTGTCCAAAAAATGTGTTGGGAAAAATCTGAAATAACAGGCACATCACATCACCACGTGCCCAGCCTCTTTCCTCTCCCTCGCCGTAACCACCACGCAACTGCACGCCACGGAAAATCGATGGCCCACCACAATGACGTACAAAACGCGCCGAGCTAAGCATATATGTATATATAAATACGTACTAGTACATCGGTGAGGCTGAAAAATAATTCCCTCGATCTCCCACGTATCCGTATCAAGTTCGCCCCGATCGAGAGGCATTAGGTTTTCGGCGAGTACCCGACGATACCGCGATGGGGAGCTAATGAGATTCCATTAACCCCGGCCCGTACACACGCACTACGGCTCCCCAGCGAATAATTTACCTCTCCGCTCGGCCTCTCTCCGATTATTTCGAGCTAAAGTACTTCTTTTTTTCTTCTTTTTTTTGTTTTATTTTATTCATCAACCAGCCTAAGTTTATTTATTTATTAAATTATGTTCTCCCACGTCGCAACAACTACACGCTTGCAAAGTTCGTGGAAAGTTCGCGCAGGGATTCGTGCAAAGACGGCTTGACGGGAACTCGCGTAGTCTTCCCTTTTGCTCTGCACTTGGGCAGAAGCAATCTTGATAAAGACTGGGTATTAGAGAGTTGGGTGGTGGAGGAGGAGGGCCTGACTGCACGCTACAGTGATTCGATTCTTTTTTTTTTTTTTTTTTTGTTTTTTTTGTACGTGTTCAACCTTCGTAGAAAATTATTATTGTTATACATGTGAACCAACAAATACACGTATAATGGGGATGGATGAATAAATGAGCGCCGAGCTGCTCGTGTATACGTCAACTAATAAGCATCGACCGCAACAGTATACACAAATTGTGTACACATGAGAGTGTTGTTGTTGTTGTTGTTGCCTCCCAAGGGAAGGATGTCCTCGTATCGCTGAAATCGTGGGCGATATCTTCTGGGATGCTGCGAAGGAGATGATGATTTATCGGCGGGCTGGAAGTGTTCGCAACTCGAGTGCCATAAATCAGCGCTTGTAAACAACATTAGGACGCCAATGCTCTCGCTTTCGTGTATGTCGTCGATAAAACTCGGCGTGCATATACTTTGTAACATCGTATCGGGCGGGGGATACAGATGGGTCCTCGAAAAGGAAGCGTGCGAGGGTTGGAGGAATATTATCGCGAGCAGCTAGCGAAATCGACGATAACACCACGGCCACGCACAACTAATTGCAGAGCGGCTCTTTTGATTCCCATGGATGTACTCTCTTTACGGTACATTGAACGGAGAGCAAAAGTTGGAGAGTATAGGAGCGTGGGGGAAAGAGAGTTACGTTCGGAAATAAAATTTTCGTCACCAACGACGAGCTTTTCTCTCGGGAGAAAATCGCCGAGGTGTTTTTCGTTTCCAAGAGAAAAAAGTAAATAATTTTACAGATTATTATGTTATATCGTACATAGCAATGATGAATTTTTCCTTGGCGAATGAGCTGTTGTTAGCTCTAAAGGACATCTGCGATTTCATTAAAAACTCGTGTCTGTGTAGATGATTGCAGTCCACGTGTAAAGACGATCAATGGTGAAAAAAAAATAAATAAAAAAAAATAAAGAAGACTTACCAGGCGTAACGAGGAACAGTATGGCGAAGAGCATCACGCCGAAGAGCGTCCGCAGGGCATGTCGGGAATCAGGCCTGTGGAGGTGGTCGGTGCCGTGCCACCTGCAGCACCACCGCCGCTGAACCAGGAGATGGTCGTTCCTACCTGCTGGTGCTGTCACGGCGCAGCCTGGCCTCAGTGTGGGCTCTTCCTGCTGTGGTTGCTGTTTCTCCTCGACTCGATCGCCGAGCCTTGATGACCCGTTCGTTTGATCCACCTTTGGCTCCTGCCTGCAAGGGTATCGCACCCCGGGACTCGAGGCTCTGATGACGCGGCTGTTGAACCAAGACGACCACGAGCCGTGCGTTTTGGGCCTGGAATTGGATTTTTTATTCATTTATGCAATTATTGAATTATGCAATGAGGTAATAAATAGTCAAGCACTAGACAATTCATGGTAAGCCGAAATTTGGAGGGGCTCAGTTTAAAAGGATTTTAAGGTGAGGAAGCTTGAGTACTACAAAGCTTTTTGCAAATCGTTTATACAAAAGCACAGTATACTAAAAAATAAATTGTTAACAAAGTCTCAAAAAATCTCTTGTTATTATACTGTGCTTGTCTCCATTCTTTACAGCTGTAACGTAGTAACAATAAAATTTTCGCATTTTAAATGAAAATTGTTGCACGAATAAGATTGTTTCCCGTTATAAATATCAACTGCATTATTTGATGCAATATAAATGGATGTCGTATAAAGAGATTGCGACTGAAAATGTCGAGGAAAACAAGAGAATCCAGCACTTGAATCGGAGTCCTTTTTTTCCACGAGTAACTGATTATAGCGGTCTGAGCAGAAAAGCTGCTTTATCAGGCTCGTTTGTTTAATCCGCTTTTACCTCAAAATGTGATTAAACGAAATCGGCTCGGTAAAGTAAGGTTGAAATTGCCCCTTTATCTCGATACGAATGACGTGCATGTACACGCTATATTCGCTCGAAAAATCGTTGGAACGCAGGATTCTCGCTATTGTTTAATAAAAATGTAAATACCATATCATACGAATGCCTTTTTTCATTCCACACTCTGAAAACAAAAATTTCGTCGATTCAAATTAACGGTATGCAAACAAATAATTATACATTCGGATGAAATATATATACTCATTCAAATAAAATAATATTAATTGAACTTATGTAAATAATTTCATTACAAAGTAATATTTAATATATTTGAACGAATATTAATTTGCTTCTATTCGTATAAACGTTTTTATTTGGATCGACAAAATTGTTTTTTTGAGTGTAAAAAATTTCAATTATTATCATTTAAGTTATGAAAATAAAACAATAACTTAGTTTTGATAGCTATAAAGTATATGCAGAGAAAGAAGTTGTAAGAATTACTGAACTGGCACTGTAAACTAAAAAACCTTATATCGTCTTCTAGAGACTTCATACTTTATTTTATTTATTGCAATTATAACATTCCTATTCTACAAACAGTAAAAATAACTGTATAGACAATAAAAAAATACTGGTCTGCACTTTACACATAACAGTGAGAAAAATAAAAAGTTTCTAAGCTACTAAATGTTACTAGCCGTCGTTTTAGAGCAGTAAATTTTTTTCCTTCACTAGCCATGTGCTCTGTCGAAAAGTTGCGTTTTACCATTCAAATTTTTTAAATTATTTTTGACATTGTTTATAAAAACAGTCGATGTAAGCTTGTCTCCATGAAAATAACCGAAAATTTAAGTGGGTAATAACAGCAGGCTTGAAAAAACACATGCATGCAAAGCCCATCCATTGTAGGAGCGAACAACAAACCTGTCATCGTCAAATGACAGCTGCGACATCGGACCACTCGTAGCTGTGCCTCTCCAGCCATCGTCCTGTCGGATCGGCGAGTAGCAAAAGTAGTAGTCGCAGCAGCTCGCAGTGGCCTTGGACCGGCCCTCGCGCAACTTCCTCAACGACGGCGGTAGCTCGTAGCAACGACGAGCGCGCCGGAACTCGTCCGTGGCTTGTGGCCCTCCTCCGCCCTCCATACCCCCGCTCCCATAGTACCTGCAATTAAAAGTTACCGCGTCTGTGTTATTACAGCGTTGAAATGACCACAGCTTTGTAATCAGCTAGTGTTGGAAGGTTATTTTTTTTATTTATTTATTTTTTCTTTAATTTGTATGTATTTAACTCAAAAATACTTGGCATGTACTGTTAAATACAAATTAGTTTCTACTATTCAGTTGTGTGGGGTGAGATTTGCTTCGTATAAATGTTGTGACTACTTTTACAGTCGTTTAGAAATATTTTATTTTTAAAGACGTATATTAAAATACTCAAAGATTATAAAATCTTAATTAAATTTTTCGCTCATTTTTCGTCTTTGCCATAGTGTATATCCTATCCATACCATTTTTACACTTTTAACTAATCAATGTTGTTATTTTAGACGAATTTTAGTTGAAATTCTCAGATGTCAATAAACAAATGAATACAATATAGTATATTAATTGAGAGACGTTTGAAAACTCGTAGAATTTTACTTCATCTGAAATTCTGTTCAATAAAGTTCTTCGTCTATACTCATTTTTTTTGTAAAGGATGAAGAAATATAATGTAAGTTTATATTTATATAAATTTTTGTTACTTAGTAAGTGCTTAAAGGTTACAATATTATACTTGTCATCTTAACTTTATCTCAATCGAGTCCTAGCTTAACAGCCCAAGAAAATGAGATTTTTTTTTAAAAAAGGGCTGACCAGAAACTACATAATCGTTAAAAAGCTAGGAATCACATTTTTACCTAAGTTTAATATGAAACATTTTTACCTAAGCTATGTATGAAAGCCTTTGAGTTTTATCTGAATGATAAAACTAATAATAATGACCATCAATAGATCATAATATCGGTAATATGATAGATATGCCATGAAAAAACCTTGTTTGAATGTTTTGTGGATCAGTAGAAACAGCCGAGTATGTCAGGCACGTTGAATTTTTCTAAAGCTATATTTAGTCTTAAAAAAAAAATAGCTCGCTCAAGCTGCCATATATCTGTCTCTTTTAACCCACAAAAAAGTTTCCACTTTTTTCAATCTTTCCATTTGTCAAATTTCTGGTTGCCCACAGCGCCTCAAAAACGTCTATCTCTAAGCTCAACATTTTCTTTACACTGAATACAAACAATTACAGTTCGACGTAAGTGAAGAAAAGTAAGAAGGGGAAAAAGAGAATGGGGGAAAAAAGTAAAAAGCACCGTCCAAAGTGCATGACTTCAATCGTCGATTTTACTGTGCCACGGTCGATCGGCAGTGCCGATAGAAATTTCGATTTAAGCGTGCGGCGAGCGAAGAGAGAACCAGGGCAGCGAAGGAGCCGGGGCTGTATATTTTTATGCAACGCGCGCCAGCGAAGAGCGAGGAAGAGCTGGTTTTAAATGGAAATGGAAATCGAATCGCGGCTCTTCTTATTCTTCCCACTTCTTTACTTTCTTCCCTTTTGTAGTTAAAACAAAAGAACTTCCGAACTTTATCCGATCGGCGTGGGAATTCGTGCGATAGGCTTTCGTGAGCACTTGACTGTTTTGATGAAGGTGTCAAGGGCCAAGTAGAAAAGCTGAAGAAAAATCATTAGTCAGGTCATTTGTAGACTTTGCCACATTCCTTGTCTTACGTTTTCAGAAAAAGTCATTGAATAGCACAGTTGCACTCCTTCTCATAAGCTTTCGCTCTTTTTTTTTCGCACTGAATAGCCCTGAGTGTATGAATGCAATTTTTAATCGTTTGCTGTTGATCATCAAGTCATATAAATGAAGTGTATTTGTTTATCGAGAGATTTCAATTGCAAGGACTACATGGTTTCAGACTTTTGATAATAAGTCCATTTTTTTTACATACTAAAAAAGTACTCTGAAGTATAAAATATAAAAAGTTAGGTTTTCATGAAAATATGTAAGAATATGTGAGTATTTTTAATCAGACATATCTTAAATTTCAATGATGTGGGGCTCGAATTTGTGTTTTCATCCTTAGAGAGCTTGGGAAAATAATTTAAGATTGAATACTTTCATAAAGTCATTAAAACAATAAAAAAAAAAAATTTCCTGGATAGTCAATAAATTATATAAAACCCTCCTGTAAAAACGATGAAATAATATTAAAAAAAAAACTTTTTTCAACATTACGTTTAAAATAATATTTCTTGAAGCATAATAAAGCAAAATTTGGTTACATAAGTCATATCTAAGGATGTTATTAGTAGATTTTAATAATGTAGTACTTGAAATGTCTTTTTTTATGTTTGGAGCAACTAAAAAATAAAAATGTATTTTTTTACTTTATTTGTGTTTTTTAATCAACAAAATACTATACTTAAATAATCTCTGGAACCCATAGAACAATTTTAATGATCAGTGGCCCAAAAATGTGAATAAAGTTTTTGTACCTCATTAAGTTTTTATTAAACGATTATACAATTTTTAATAAACCATATTTTGTTGTAATTCTTTTTTCTGAAATAAATAACATTGTTATAACTGTTTGGATGGTACTTATTTATTTTGAAAAAAAGTTATCTTAATTTACATGGTAAAAAAAAAAATTTTCTTTCGTAAGGAAAAATTTATTTAGAAATCAAGATATTGTGTTTGAAAAATTAGAGATTAACTATTCATAACTCAAATATTTCTTTAAAATAAGAATCTAAAAAATCGAACTTGGCATAATTTTTTGCTGATTAATTAATAGAGATTTATTTTTTTTATTACTTTTTTTTTTTTAATATCAAAGTTCTAATTTTTCTTACAAGAGTTGGCTTCATCTAACCATATGTACTATAAAGTTAGCTGCTATGATACACATTCAAACATGAAATAAAATATTTTTCGTTGTCCCACATTAAATCAGATAAAACGATGCACATCATATCGAGTTCTGATATCGCAAAAAGAAAAAAAGTCGCGCATTGACAAGTTTCATTCGACGATCCAATTTTTTTTCACACTCCAATCTCGGAAACTTTTCCGTCGGAACCAACGTAAACACATATACGTACAGCAGAGCAATGAAAAACTTTGGGATTGCTCCGGTCGTAATAATAACAAGTTACCGAACAAAAAGTAAGAGCAGCGAGTTTTCTTCCTTTCGGAAACTTTTTAAAACTACGTCGGAAACTTAATGCGCCGTTCAATTTCCGCGAGTTACAATTAATATATATATACGTACACCTAGACCAGTTCGAACGAGAGAAAAATGACAAAGAGCAATGTAGGTCCGGAGAAAAATCGGAGCCCCCTTTCCCCCAAGCGACAAAAGCTCGGGTCGAAGATGATGCGGGGCGCAAAAGCAAAGGCGAGGACAAAAAGAGGAACAACTCACCTCTGCCGCTGAGCCACTGCTACCGCTGTCGGCCTGCGGCGACGAATTTCTCGCGCGTCGCCACTTCCGCTTCGGCTGCCTGGGAAAGGATTGTCGTCCAAAGAGCCCCTGGAAGATAAGCTAGCCGATCGGGAGCATCACCTGCAACAGAGACCGGATATTGCGTCATTTACCAGCTCTTCTTTTTTTACCATCACTATATCTGTGTGTGTGTGTGTGTGTGTGTGTGTGTGTAAGAATGGGTGTGTACGCATGTGCGTGTGTGTGTGTACCTACAAAGCAAACCAAAGCCGTAAAGCTGTCAAAGTCTGTCGATAGGTTTCTCAAGACCCCCCTTTTTTTTTAACGCCTGAGCTCTTGGTTTTTCGAGATTGCTAAATTGCTTTTCGCTCTTGGAAAATCTGTGAAAGTGCTCGGACGAATACACCGTAATGTCTTTTTTAATGCTTCAATTGTGAAACTGGCGTGCCAATGTTTTAATAACAATTAAAGTCCTAAAGCATTCCAACTGATTCGTCCTTGCATCCCTAAGCTGATTCATCTATCCGTTTCATCAACTTATTGAGTTTGATAATGTATGCAGAAAAAAAATTTTACTTTTAACCAATGAATGGTATATAAGCGATAAATTTTAATGAAACTGATGTCTTGACGGTGACGTAAGGCAAGAGACCAATTACACGCATCGCGTGGTTCCTGATCGGTGGAGTAAGAAGAGGAGAGGGGTTGTGGGTGGAAGGGACATGCATCTTCCTGTTTGCACAGTGTCATCGAGAACGAGCGGTGTCTTGGCCTTAGGCAAACACATACATGTGCCTATGTTGATATTACGTACACGGGTATCCTGCGTAAAGGTGGAGGGGAGAGCTACCCTGGAACTACGGTTCTGGCTGTCTGAACATTGACACGTACCAGCCGAAGCCAACGTCCATGGAATCTCCCGGCGTGATTTCTTCATCTGTCTCAATTTTATAGAATATACTAACATTACATCTCAAGGAAAGAAATAAAAAGGAAAGACTGAAAAATTGAGGGAAATTTCATGGCTCGTTTGGAATTTCCGTTTACCCGTTGTACGAGGGGGCACGGACGCGCTGTACTTTCGACTGTTACGTGGTACATAGCTGTGGTGAAATTTATTCCGTGTTGGCTTATTATACGTGGAGTGTAACGTGGCTGGAGAAGCGCTTAGTAGGATAACTAATTACAAACTTTTGAGTGACGAGTACGAAGCGCACCTCAATTTTCACTCATAACACGTTAGGATGGATACACAATTTGCCGTCGCAATTAACTTCCGGGGCTTTGATAACCCGTGACGATGGGTCTCGCGTGGAATTCGTATAACTTTAGTCGAATCTCATTGATGAGGTCAATGACGAAAATTTCTAGTTTGATGTTTTGGATTTATGAGTGTTTGTATGTCTGTTTGAGGGAAAATTAAGGTTATTATTTCGAGGTGCGTTTAGAGAAGAATAATTGGGATTTATTGGTATCGCCGAGGGTCTG